ACATAAGCATGTAATTTTTGGTTCCTTGACGTTATTGCATTGCTTTCTTTGCTGCTTTCCAGTGGTCCATACCTAGATTACTTTGATATCGTCTTAACATTCCTATAGCAAATGCAATGTCGGGTCTTGTGCAGACTTGAGCATGCATCAAGCTTCCGATAGCAGAAGCATATGAAATGTTCTTCATTTGTTCCCTTTCTAGATCATTTTTCAGGCATTGGTTCAAATTAAACCTATCACCCTTTATGATGGATCTACTCTTAGTAAACGATCCTTCATCCGGAATCTCTCTATAACTTTATTGATATAGGTTTCCTGAGACAGACCCAAAATACCTCGTAATATGTCTCTATGAATCTTAATGCCAATGACATAAGATGCATCACCTATATCTTTCATATTGAAATGTTTAGATAGGAATTGTTTCACCTCATGCAACAAACCCTTATCTTTGGTTGCAAGTAAAATATTGTCTACGTATAAAACAAGAAAACAAATCTTACTCCCACTAACCTTCTGGTAAATACATTGATTCAAGGGATTTTCAACAAATCCAAAGGAAGAAATTACTCCATGGAATTTTAAATACCATTGACGGGATGCTTGTTTCAGATTGTATATGGACTTCTTAAGCTTACAGGCCAGGTGCTCACCATCATTAGAGAAGAATCCTTTAGGTTGTTTCATAAAAACTCCTCCTCTAGATTTCCATTGAGAAATGCTTATTTCACATCCATTTATTGTAATTCAAGATCAAATTGGGCTATTAATGCCAAAATAATACGTAGAGAATCTTTCATAGATATCGAAAAGAAGGTCTTCGTGTAATCGATTCCCTCATCTTGAGTAAATCCCATAGCACCAAGTCTTACCTTATATCTCTCGATATTACTTAGCGAGTCTTTCTTAGTCTTAAAGACCCATTTACAGTCAATGGCTTTGGCACCACTAGGCAACTCAACAAGATCTCACACTCTATTGCTCTTCATAGAACTCATTTCTTCCTTCATGGCATTGTACCATAATTTCGACTCTTTACAACTCATGGCTTGTGAAAATGATTTAGAATCATTTTTTGCTCCAATATTGTGGTCAGGTTCTTGTAGATATACTTCATAATCACTAGGAATTGTTGACCTTTCGTTTCTAGTAGATCTTCTTAATGTTGTACCATCATATTCCTGAGAAGCTTGTGATTCAACCGATTGTTTAGGAGGTTCTGGTAATGTTGTACTTGAACATTGTCAGTAGCTTATGGTATTTTAATAATTCATTATTCAACACCTGTTTGTACTTGAGGGGTGTTGTGAACTATGACTAATCTGTCACCTAAGGTGGAAGGTTGAGATTCCAAATGATCATGCTCAGAAACATTGTTCCTAGTTAGAACACTCCCACCGATCAGGTCATTCTCAAGAAATTTGGCATTTCGTAATTCCACAATCCTAGTGCTGTGAGATGAACAGTAAAATCTGTATTCTTTAGACCTTGCCGCATATCCAATAAAATACCCACTAATAGCTATGGGATCTAGCTTCTTCTCTTGTAGATTATAGATCCTCACTTTTGACGGACATCCCCAAATGCACATATGTCGCAAGCTTGATTTCCAACCTTTCAATAATTCAAATGGTGTCTTTGGGACAGCCTTAGTTGAAACTCGATTTAATATATACACTGCTATCTTAAGTGCTTCAGTCCACAAGGATTTAAGAAGATTGGAGCTACTAAGAAAGCTCCGCACCATATTCAGTAATGTTCTATTTCTTCTTTCTGCTATATCATTCTAGTCTGGTGAACCAGGCATGGTGTATTGGGCAACTATTCCATGCTCTTGAAGAAACTTAGCGAACGGACCAGGTGCTATCCATCCTGTGTATTTATCGTAATATTCTCCACCTCTATCTGATCTTACGATCTTAATTTACTTCTCATATTGTTTCTCTACATCTGCCTTAAAGGTTTTAAAGGCATCCAATGCTTTACTCTTATTATGAAGTAAGTAGAAATACATATATTGCGAGTAATCATCAATAAAGGTGATAAAGTATTTCTAATTACGTGAGTCCATGTCTGGACTACATTTATCAGTATGTATGATTTCTAATATGTCCGAACTCCTATTAGCACCTTTCTTGGATTTGTTGGTCTGCTTTTCCTTAATGCAGTTCATACATGTGTCAAAATCAGTGAAATCTAGAGTACTAAGTATCCCGTCATTTATTAATCCTTTGATTCTATCTATAAAGATATGTCATAATCTCCAATGCCACAACATAGATGAGTTTTCGTCAATATTACACCGTTTGGTGCCAGTATGAACATACATTGAACTATAAGTGATATTGTTTTATAAATTAACACGATAAAGACTATCAGACAAAGTACCATTCCCAACCCAATCAAAATTATATAATAAACTAAATGACGTGTTTGAAAAATTAAAGGAATATCCCAAGGTACAAGTCTCGAAATATAAATCAAGTTTCGTGAAGAACTTGGAACATAATAGGTCCTATCTAATTTCAAAACAAAACCACTACTTAAAGTTAAAATGCATGTTCTTATAGCCGCCACACGCGAGTCTATCTTGTTTCCAGATAAGATATTTTGCCCACTTTCCACTGACTTCCTTAGATTTTGCATACCCTGCAAGGAGCTTGCAACATGGATTATAGATCTAGAGTCAATCAACTAGGTGTTAACATTTACATTAACCATATTAGATTTATAACAAACAAATGTGATAGGATTACCTTTATCCTCAAGCCATTTTTGGAATTTGGCGCAATCTTTTTTCACGTGTCCCTTCTTGTTACAGAAGTAGCACTTGGCTTATTTCTTAATATCATCTTGAGGTGGGATTTTACCTTCCCCTTTCTGATTGGCTTGAGTTTTTCCCTTCCTATGGGTTGTAGTCAACATTGTACTTTCACCTTGTTCCACTATTAGTCTTCCTTCTTCTTGAACACACATAGTCATCTATAAATTAATTGACCATTTATTCTTATGTGTATTGTATAAGATTTTGAAATGTCCATACTCTTGTGGGAGACTATTGAAGATGTAGTGCACAATCAAGGATTTAGACATCTTAACCTCGAGTTTCTTAAGTTGAGCTGAAATGTCTCTCATCTGCATGATGTGCTCGTGCACACGTTTCACATTAGTGAGCCTTAAGGATGAAAACTTCATTATAAAGGTTCTTGCCAATGCCTTATCTGAAGTGATGAATTGATTGTCAATGGCCTTTATCAAGTCCTGGACCTTATCATGTTGTTCAACAAAACCACGTATACCAGCAGAAATTTTAGTTTTTATGAACTTTACGCTGAGATGATTAGATTGCTCCCTTTTTTCATAAAGCGTGATGTATGCTGCAGTGATGGTATTGGTGATTTTAGGTGATTCATCTTTCCTAGTAGCATAATCAATATTCATCCACCCTAAATGGAGAAGAATTCTCTCCTTCCATACTTTATAGTGATCACCCTTTAGTTCGGGAATATCACAATGAAAAGAAATTGGCAGGTTGTGAAGCTGCATAATATTAAAAATGCTTATGTTAACTTAAGACTTAATTGAATAGATTGCATATTTTACCAATGTAAATCATGCCAAAATTGAATGTAATGACATAAAGATTGCTTGTGGGCTAAATTTTTAGTTCAATCATATTCAATTATTCCTTATGATAGAATTATCAAATTATGCACTTAATCCATAATTTGTTTATTATGAAAACAATTTGATATTCTATCCTAAACAAACTTTATAATAAAACTATCAAATTATGTACTTATTCGTAATTCCTATGGGCATACTATGAAATAATTTGATATTTTATTCTAATTAGTTATATAAATATAACAAAAATTCCCGTGGGATAAAATTAGTTATATAAAATATAATTAATTACAATCTTATATCTTTAGTCCTTATGTGATCTTGATCTTAATACATAATTCTACTTAATTAAAGATGTTGTGGATAATCCTTAATTAAATAAAACTACATTGTTCACTAGGCATTAACTATTTTATGCACTCAATATGAGAATAATTCTAATAGCATAGTATTAACTAACATGTCATGATTATGCACAAAATATTCTCATCAACATTATAAATTGCATAAAAAATTCAACTTATCTAAAAATTGTATGTATTAATTAAGTCATGCAAACTAAATATAGGCATAATATAATTCAACATAAAATTGCATTTATTATTCTAAACATAAATAATTAATATATGCATTCCCAAGAATTAAACCTTTAGGGGGGAAAAACAATAAGCCACTAAGTTAATTCAAAAATCTGCCCAAGACTTAAATTATACATAGTTAAACCAAATATATACACACACACACACACACACACACACACACACACACACACACACACACACACACACACAAAAAATAAATACTCTGTGAAACACCAAGACAGAGGCAATATGGGGCTCTGATACCAAATGTTAGACAAAAATTGATCCAAAAGAACATAAGTCGAGAATAGATCGAGAAACTGAATGCCCATGAATCAAATTTCATACTTTCGACCATTGGCGTTGTTCCAAAACTCTCCCTTTAATTTGTCAGCTTTTATCAAAATGTTCTGAACTTTTATAGAATGATTCATGAAACAACCCCCATATATATATACACCCTCAGTGTCAATGCTACTTCCTTTTGCAATTTGAAGTGTAATGAAGAAAAAAGATCACAAAATTTTTCACACTTGTCGTAAAAAAAAGAAGTGTACGCTATGATTAAGCACTGCAATCTAACAACCCAATTATCAAGAAATGCTGAATTTAAATGATGATTCAAGTACTCCTTACTTTATTAAATTAGAGGCAGTCGTTAGTTAACTGCCTTACGATCTATTATTCGAAATCTGTTCGATGAATCACTACATCTAATTTGGTAAAATCCTTCGCAACCACATCAAACCATATTAGTTTTGGAGATTAATTACGCTATACAAAAGCAATATATAGATATAATATATAGTTCTATATACAATTTCTGTTACAGAAAATGTATCTTTGTATGAAAGTATTAATATATTTAATACAAACAAAACATTAAAATCACAGGATCACAAAACCACCTTGGTTTTCCTGTTGTAAATTATGCCAAGAAAACTGCAAATTTTTTTGCTTCATGTTGAACCTTCCCATGGGAGGTATGAAGGAAATTGTCTGATAAAATTGAGGATTCACAATCAAGATTCTTCGATAACACAAGCTGTAATAAGATTATAGCTTTTGTAAGAGGCGTCCGACTTGGAGCTGTTGGGGTTCATACGGCACAACCTGGGCCTTTTTCTGATACTTTCATGATTCTGAGTCTCTTACAGGATGACATTAACATACTGCACAAAAACACACGTGAAAAAATTAGTGTACACATATATATTAGTCGTGTCCAATATTGCATATCAAAATTATGTGACATTGTTTGTATCCGTATCTCCACACAGAGAGGAAACTTACTCCCAAGGAACATCTCCAACAAGCATCAAGTCACCATCTTTATCTTCATATGCAGGAGCATATTGTGACCCTTTGTAGCCTTCGCTCTCTGAGTACTCACCTAATGAATAAAATAAAGAACATAATTTCATTAGAACGAAACCACAGCCATAATAGAAATCCTATTATAGCTTCTATGTAAATTGTACAATACTAGAACATTATCGAGTTAAAATCTTGTATACTGTCTTAGACATAATATTTCATATCAAATGTCTCCTTGTAATATATGTCATAACGAGTTAAGATAATAATACAAGAAACTAAGAAAATGTATCTTTACCTATGCTGACTTTGAACATGTTTTCTAAAGCCTTGAGGAGCTCTGGATATCCATTATAAACTTTGAGATCGACCTTTCTAAGATAAGGGGCTCCATCCATGCTTACTTTCACATACATCCGAGTTTCAGATTCTACCTTCTTCGGCTGGAAATTATTTTTCCAGTAGGACCTCACAGGTGGCCATCCTACTATTTGAGCCCTGAAATCAAGTACCAAACCAACAGGTCAAAAACCATTACATAAACATCAGTATATTAAGCTCTACACAGTCGAACAAATTTGATGCATGACTTACTTTGACGCAGATGAGGTTTCATGCTCAGAGGATTTTTCAGTAGAATTAGCCTTTGGTACACTGTCATCAACAGACTCAGGTGCGGCTCTCTTGTTATTCCTAGCAGAACAAATCATGTCGTCAGATTCATCTGTGCCTGGCAATCCCAATCTCAGCTCAGTTTCCTTAAGATTCAGATGATTTTCCTGAGCCATAATCACTTTCGGTAGTTTCCTAAATGAATTTTGCACCAAAAAACCCTCAAAAATCAAAGCCAAGTTTGTGAACTAGTATCCAATGAATTTCTCGAAATAAGCTCAACCCTTTGTTTTCAAGTTTTCAGCTGATAGTATCAAGGTAAAATGCTTTTATTTGAAGACAAATGAAAGGCGTTGTTACATAGATGTACTATACTTACAAAGAGGAGAAGGATTTGTATTTAGCCTTGTTATGAGTATCAACTGCATAAATTGCGGACAAAGGCAAGTTAAGCTGTCGGCTGGAGTGGCAGCACCTTTGAGGCAAGTGGTCCTATATTCAGGGGACAGTAGAGGGACAAGCTCAGCCAACCACATGGATGATTTCTTTTGTGGAATAAAATGGGGGCTGGTCAAGATGAGTTTTGGGGGAATGTGGGAGTAGAATCAGGTGAATTGAATCCTGGGGTGTGTTGTGGGTGGGGGGTTGGGGTACCAGCCATGTGAATGGAAAGTTGATAGGCTCATATATGGGGTCATAAGAATTTGATTTTATGGGTAGAATTCTCATTGATACTCGATTTGCTCTGAACCTCGTTAAAATCAAATCTAATTGATTTATGCTCACCCAAGGTGGACGTGTAGTGGTAAAGGTGACTCCCATGTTAACGGAAATTAGATGAACAAAGCCATTTGGATTCAAGGCTAGAATTTTTGGTGGTACTCAGATCAATTTGATTCTCAATTAAATCAGGCTCAATCGAATCATATGCTCACTCCAAGGTGAGAAGTGGAGGGATGGGGTGTTGATTATTGAAATCGTACAAATGCATAGTATAGCCAAGTAATAAAGTAAAATATCGTTTCCTCGATAACTAAATACTTAGCCCTTGTCTGACATAATTTATTTATTTATTTTTTTGTGGAAAGAATAAGTTTTTGAATAGTAAATTTTTGGAAAATGTGTTGTTATATGTGTGTGTGTGTTACAATTGCTATAAGTGCTATATTTATTAATCATTTTCTCAAATGAAATAATTATTACAAAATATTCAATTATTAACTAGTTAATTGAGAAATATTAGTATCTGTAACAATTATCCAAAATAAAACAAATATCAAAAGTGAAAATTTGAAAAATTTATATTATAACTTCACAATAAAGGGTTCATATACGTTCTAGTGACTAAAAGTTTAGGTGAGCATTATAAAAGTGCGAGAAAACATGTTTGAATTATGAAACACCACCCAAACTGCAGATGTGTGACGAAGATAAAGATAAGTCTTGATTCATTAGAAGTAATGTAGGTTGGGTATCTGGAGTCTTTCTACGTTAAAGCGTGTCATTAAGTCGCGTAGGGGTTGCACTCCTGTCAAAGTTGCATGAGGGATGTAGCGATCTTTCTAATGCGGTTGTTACTTGAGAAAAAGGCAAATAACTTGTTAGCCAAGTCTGAGAATAAGGCAATGAAATGGGACGAATCCCCAGCAGCTTTAGTCACGATTTGCGGTAAAACTTTGCACATCATTGAGTTTAATGCCACTTATAGGTTCATGATATCCGTAGATACATTGAGGTGGTTTATTAGGTTAGTAGTTCCGTTGTACTCCTTTATTCTAGGATATTTAAATCTGCCTAATAAAGGATATAACACAATTTTGAGAGTGAATAGAGTGCTTGAAGTGAAACCTTGTTAAGCCCTGAATATTCTGGAGTAGGCCAGCTATTATTCCATCTTGAATTATACTAATAATTTTTTTTGACGTCATGTTGATGGACCTCGAACTCGAGATCATAAGGGGTGGTTGTGGTTGACCTCACGATCCCATGTCGCTAATATCAAAGGACAAAGAGCTAGAGCTAGAGCATCGGCCATAAAATTAATTGGCCTCGAATACTGACCCTTGTTGGCGGAGATCTTTGAATGCCTTTGAAGTATCAATTGCAGGTTGTGTGTTAGTACTTTTAGTGGAACCTTTGGAGGGGTAGAAAGATCCCTAAAAGGAGGTTGAATTGGAACAAATGTGCTTGTTGGAAGAGGTCCTGAACATGTATTATCCATGGCTTTTGATAGCATTTTTCACATACGGCACTAATGATGTTACCAAAACTTTTCACGTGTTAATTTTAAAAATTGACGACTGAAGATGAACATGAACATAATCTCCTGTATTTGAAACAAGGCGTCGAAGTGCATATCATCATCCCTCCAATTCTTAAGTTAGCAAGAAGGAATATATGCGTGAGGCTATAAGTTGAAATTATGCAAAAGCGTACCTGAATAATGAATCTGGGACCTATATTTGTAGAGGTAGGAAATGAAATCCTAGTAGGACTGGATCATTTAGATGCCTTATCTTTTTTTAGAGTCTTTGAAGACATTTAATTTTATGGGAGGTAGATATTGGAGTTCGACTTTGTTGTAGTTTGACCCAAATTCTATTAGATATTGGATTGGGAAGAAAAGTCATTACATTTTCATTAAACTGCCGCTAGAGCGACTCCTACATATTTTCTCTAGAGACTTGTCACCACCTGGCTCTCGAGCAACGGAGCTGTAGCTCGCCTACTGCTAGCCTGTCGCTCGAGCGACAGGGTCATACGATCTAGGCTCGTTTCACGTTTTGATGCCTTTTTTTGATTCTTATTCATCTACAACTTGATTTCTAGGTTTATATATATAAGTCATGGCTTGTATTGTTCACATTATATCCATACAACATCTTGAGAATTTTGGATCTCAACTGAGAGTATTGAGATCGTGTTTTAACCACTATTGCTATTAATTATAGTGATGGACCTCTAACTCGAGATCATAGGGGATAGTCGTGGTTGACCTCACGACCCCATGTCGCCAATATCAAGAGCAGGACAAAGAGCTAGAGCTCAAGCATCAGCCATAAAATTAATTGGCCTCGAGTATTGACCTTTGGTACAGATTCTGTTGGCTTAATAATTGAGTCAACCCAAGAACTTGTTGGTGGAGATTTTTAAATGCCTCCGAAGTATCGATTGTAGGTTGGGTGTTAGTACATTAGGTAGATTCTTAGGAGGGGCCGAAAGATCCCTAGTAGGAGGTTGAATTGGAATAAATGAGCTTGTTGGAGGAGGTCCTAAACATGTATTAACCATGGCTTTCGATAACATTTCCCACAGATGGCGTTAATAATGTTACCAAAAATTTTCACATGATAATTTTCAAACTTGACGATTGAGGATGAGCACGAACATAATCTCATGTACATGAAACAAGGTGTCAAAGTGCATTATCGTCAACCCTCAATGCTTAAGTTAGCGAGAAGGAATATATGCGTAAGGCTATAGGCCGAAATTATGTAAAAGTGTACTTGAATAATGTATCTAGGACCCATATTTATAGAGGTGAGAAGTGAAATCCTAGTACGATTGGATCATTTAGATGCCTTATCTTGTTTTAGTCTTGTGGGAGGTAGATATTGGAGTTCGACTCTGTTGTAGTTTGACCCAAATTCTGTTGAGTATTTGAGTTTTAGTTGAAGTGAAATTGAAGAGATCAAAATTATGGACCAGGCAAAAATCATTATATTTTCGTTAGCCTACCGCTAGAATGACTCCTACATGTTTTCCCCAGAGACTTGTCACCGCCTGATGCTCGAGCAATGGAGTTGTCGCCACCTACCACTAGCCTATCACTCGAGCGACAGGGTTATATGATCTAGGCTCATTTCATTTTTGATGCCCTTTTTTGGACTCTTATTCATCTACAACTTAATTTCTAGGATATATATACATATAAATCACAGCTTGTATTGTTCACATGACATTCATACATCTTGAGAATTTTGGATCTCAATTGAAAGTATTGAGATCATGTTATAAACACTATTACTAATGATTATTGTGATGGACCTCGAACTCGAGATCATAGGGGGTGGTTGTAGTTGACTTCACGAACCCATGTCACTAATATCAAGAGTAGGACAAAGAACTAGAGCTCGAGCATCGGCTATAAAATTAATTGGCCTCGAGTACTAACTCTTGGTACAGATTCTATTGGCTTAATAATTGAGTCAATCTAGGAACTTGTTGGCAGAGATCTTTGAATGCCTCCAAAGTATCAATTGTGGGTTAGGTGTTAGTATTTTTGGTGGATTCTTTGGAGGGACCGAAAGATCCCTAGTAGGAGGTTGAATAGGAATAAATGAGCTTGTTAGAAGAGGTTCTGAACATGTATTAACCATGGCTTTTGATAACATTTCTCACAGATGGCGCTAATGATGTTACCAGAAAATTTCACCTAATAATTTTCAAACTTGACGATTGAGGATGAGCATGAACATAATCTCCTATACCAGAAACAAGGCGTCTAAGTCCTTTATCGTCATCTCTCTAATGCTTAAGTTATCGAGAAGTAATAAATGTATAAGGCTATAAGCTGAAATTATTTAAAAGTATACCTGAATAATGAATCTAGGACCTATATTTATAGAGGTAAGAAGTGAAATCCTAGTAGGATTGGATCATTTAGATACCTTAACTTGTTTTAGAGATTTCGAAGATATTTAAGTCTTGTGGGAGGTAAATATTGGAGTTTGACTCTGTTGTAGTTTGATCCAAATTCTATTGAGTATTGGAGTTTTGGTTGAAGTGGAGTTGAAGGGATCAAAATTATGGATCGGAAAGAAAAGTCGTTACATTTTCATTAGCCTGTCGCTAGAACGACTCCAGCATGTTTTCTCCATAGACTTGTCACTACCTGGCGCTCGGGCAACATAGCCATTGCCCGCCTATTGCTAGCCTATTACTCAAGCGACGTGGTTATATAGTCCACGCTCTTTTCACTTTTTGATGCCTTTTTTGGACTCTTATTCATCTACAACTTGATTTCTAGAGTTTAATATATAAGTCACGACTTGTATTGTTCACATGACATTCATACAACATCTTGAGAATTTTGGATCTTATTTAAGAGTATTAAGATCGTGTTGTAAACACTATTACTATTGATTATAGTGAATTTCTCCTTCTTTGCCTATGATTTTTCCCATCTTAAGTTTCAATATAAATCTTTGTATTTTAGTTTGTTGTTGTTTATTTGTTATTGTCATCATCTTGCGCTCAATTTATAATAAGTGGTATCAGAATTCCGCATGACATGGTGCGAAGCTTGTTCTAGCAAGTGAAGGTGCGAGCAGTTCTTCCTCCAGTAGATTTAGATGAAGCCTTGCATTGCTTTGGTAAGATGCCTTCAACATAGACAAAGGATGAAAAGCAATACAGGTTTCGAAAATCCCTATCTCAAATTTATCTACATTTATCAAATTAAATTCTTCAAGATATTTTAAAGGAAAAAAGCACTGCTGCGTTGTGGTTGAAGTTGGAGCAACTTT